ACGCCAACAAAGACACGTACGTCTGACCAGTAAAATTCGGTCCATGGAATTTTGCTGGAATATTTCTCATTTTGAATTTGGCATCATAACAGGAAACTTTTCCCGTTGGAGAACATCCTTCGGAGGTGTCTGATCAAATCGGTGGATGTTACTGATGCCTTTACTTTACAAGACATTGAAAAGTAAGGCATTAATGAAGCTTAAATAACTCCAAAATGGTGATGAGAATGAAAATTTCCTACACAAGCAGAAGCTTTGATTACCATTCATACCATTTTCTGCTACCATTTATGTCCCACTTGACTTTACATTACAGTAGTATCATCCCAAATCCAAAACCACCAGAATGGACAAATAGAAAAATCAAAATGTGTGCGAAATGACGGCTATCAGTGCAGGGATGCGGAAAATAGGTTTACAAATAATTACGTCATATCCATCTCAGAAAGGAGTATTTCTGCAAGATGAGTAGGTTCAACCGCGACTTCTGCGAAGATTATCCACCTCTCGTTGCCAGAAGCGATACAACTGCCAGTAGCGTTCACTAGAAATAAAACAAAATTATTTGCACATATCCATCATTTATCAAATAGGCATCCAAATAGCGTACCTACAGAAGGAGACAATTCGAGAGTTTGATATTTCTAACCGTGCTAAACTAGCGAACACCCCCGTTGTGGAGGCTTTTTCTTCCTCTCTGCAGCTCGGTCTTCGGGCCACGCCAATAGCCTCATAGCTCTTCTGCGGCTTATCCCATATTACTTCGACTTGCTACGACTTCAGTAAGGACTTACCCAATAGTTTGGAAGTCCTGCATTCATAGTTCATTGTTGTTAGTAGAAAATGTAGTAGATAGACAAACTTATTTACCGTCAGGAAACGCATCCGGTTTAAGTCAGATGACCGCTTACATCTAGAGGATATACTTGCGGTGGTTCATTGCAGATCTATAACAAATTCGTTGCCACGCAACACTGGACAAAGGCCAGCTTTGACTAACAGAGGGCTTTAGCAACCAAGATACTATTACCCCTATACCAACTAGGATGCATTTCGCATAACAAGCGCCTTGGACTCCTCCCATAGTTACGGCCTTGATAACTAAAGACGACAGAATGGTCGAGCGAGGTTTGGAGCCTGCGTGGGTCGATTTATACTATAAATACAAGGGAAAAGTTTGAGGAAATATGCTTTACCTTCTTTCTTGGGCAGCCTTCAAGTCAATATCATGAAGCGAAGAGTAGGATTTTGTCCTTCGCATCTACAATTTAAATCATGAGGAACATTTAAATACTGAAACAAAATTCATTTTGACAGTTACTCCTGGATTACATCAACCTGGGCCTAACCTCGTAAAGACGTTACTCAGTCTAATTTGCGGCTTGAGTGGTCAGCTATGGTGCGATAGATTACCTACCAGTTCAAAGGGACCTATTACTTAGAAATGAAACAAGGAGATCTTAAGCACAAATGAAGTTGTATGGTTGGCATTATTGAGAGATCAGGCTGACAGCTAGGACTGGAAAGTGCAGTGGATATCAAGTTGTGAAATGGGACATTTTTTGAGTACAAACTTACAGCGCACACACAGTCACTTGAACATCGAGTGCCTAAAAGATTGGGAATTAACAATGCAGGGCTGATTGTGTAACTGATAGCAAATTTGCATGCATAGTTTAACACAACCTATTGTATTTAGCTCTTTCATAATGCAGGTGGATTGTATCCATGTATTTATGTATTCAGTGCACACGTCCACTGGAATTCCTAATATGTCCTATAAGTATGGCCCAAAAAGTATAATCGAATCATTTTTGAGGATAAAAACCCAAGAAAAGTTAAAAAACTCACATGGCATTTCTTTTTCTTCTCTCGATAAGGGGAGATTGAGTGAATTTCGCAACGGAGAACATAAACGTTGCGATGCATACTCCTGAAAACAAAAAGCGCGAAATGCCAAAGATCACTTACAGTAATGAGGGTACCTTCATCACACAAACAGTATTATAACATTACGTTAAACAAGGAGTGTTCTTAATTAAAAAAAGATTTTGAATACGCCTAACAATGGGAAACGACTGCAAGGTTTAATCAAAAGACTAAATATGCGATTGAGGGTTGAAAAAATAGGAAGTCAACGCAAATTCAAGTCTGAAAAATGAACGGATGTGCCGACATTACTGTAAATCCTGAAGCTCTAAAATTCCGAATACACAATAACAAGGCGCTATCTGAGGTGTGACCAATGTTACTGACCAAACTTTTCCCTTCCTAAAAATAAATCAAAATTTAAAAAAAAAACAAAGTACATTTACAGTGATTATCCTTCATAAGTTTACGGTAGAAATTCGTTAAGCACAGGGCTTTTGAAATCAGCTATAATTTAAAGGCATTATTTCCCAAAATCCAGAGTAACCATTTTAATGTAAAGCATTACGTGTGAAACAGTATATTTGTCTTTACGCTTTTGAAAAAGAAAACAGTCTATGGAGTAGATGAGACGTTTTGGCATAGGCGATCACACACCGGTTTAAATGCAAGGAACAGAATTTTGTGTTGTACAGCTTGGAAGTCCAGATAGAAACTTTGTACCACTTTTTATTCCATGAACTACTTACGCGGTTTCCACTCATACTTCTAGTTGTTCTAATTTTCTTCAACGGTCTCTGTCTGGATGAAGTGGTTTTCAGTATACTATTCAAAGTAGGTTGGGTATAATGCGGAATGCCTAAAGAAATATTAGATTTTATCCAACTTCGTTTTGTGTCAGAGGATTTAGTTTTGTGAATCTAGATCCTAATTACAACAAAAAGGTAAGTACCATTTTCTCGGGGCAGTAAGCACCAGGAGATATCTTCGTCGTAGTCGTAAACTCAACTCTCGGAGAAACACCCTAAAAATAGTTTCGTTGTATAGAAAAGGCCTTACAGGGAAATCTACTGTACGTATCATTAGTAATTCCCGATCATTCCCGATAGTACTGCAGAGTGTAGGGCAGGGCATAAAGAAGTCGCGCGCATTGCCATCGAAGTAGGCCAATAGTTTTCCACTATTAAAATACTCAGTCATTTGTCGTAGTTCAATAGTGACAGGGATATCTATAGAATATTAGTGAGGCGAAAACAAAATAAAACCCTCTAATTTCCGACACAACTCGTAAGGAGAAAAGGTATCAAAGAAACGCTAAAGGGATCACCAATTAAAATAGCCAAATACCTTCTCAAAGGAAAAGCTTTCTTGGACTTCTAGAGGAAAATTTGGCAATGATAGCTTTGTAAAGTGAATGCTATCAAAAATATTTATATACAGAAAAATATCGTCTCTATTGTGCAAATATGTCCCAGGTGAATGAACCTTAAAGAGTACATAGGCACAGTCAAGTTAATACCTTCCTCAGTACAAGAGTTCCTTCAAACAAATAGGTTGGCATAATGAATCGCAAACCAATCAGCAAATCCCCCCGTTATACCAGTCCAAAAGCCACCCACATCTGACCTTATAAGTTATAGCATATTAAAACAATTCCAGTCTTGAGAGTACATGATAATTCACGACAACTTTTGTTCATTAAACAATTTAACCAAAATTGCTTTTGCAGTTTACTTACTTAGGAGCCATATTCGACCCGTAACGCTTCTAATTCACCATCAGGTTCAATGTACAAATGAAAATTTCGAAATCTGATGTGGTGAAAAATACCTCTGAGGACCGTGTCCATATTAAAAGACGGTTACTGGACTAAATTAATGGTCTTTTTTAACCCTAATAATAAAGTTTTGAAATTAATTCAGTATGTAGCGCGCATAACTTACTATCAGAGTTTATAACAAGGTTCAGGACCAAACCAACATTTCCTTACAAAGTTCACTTACCTTACTCTTAAACACGCCCTTGCACTGATAACACAGTTACAAAGTTGTGGACCTACGGCTTCCCCAGACTCATATTATCACCCCAAATACACCTAATAATACTAAGAATCTGTTTCAGGAAAATTTTATATCATTCTCGCGGGACTTTCAAACTATTATGTAGCGTCTCAAGACTTCCCTGAAGACGAAAGAAGACGCAACACTCGGGCAGAATACGTATTTAGCACTGAGAAGGTGTCTGGGATACTGGCATGGCCCAAAGGCCAGACTGCCCAGCACGGCACAAGAAGGCTAATTCAAAAGTGGGGCCTCACTAATACCGAGGGATAAACCACCATCGTATTACATTTAGTAGTAACCTTTTAAACTGCCGATGCATTGTGCAGCGCTTCTAATAACTTACGGCAACAAAAATGAAATTCAATTGAACATTCTTATTTATCACAGGTTCCAGTGAATAGATTCACAATTTTGCAGTCATGCGCTTCTTTATGAATAGATATTAATAAAGGATTTTTTGTGTAATTAACTTATCAAGTGTAGAGTTCACTGATGATACATTAGACAATTAAATTAATGAAAACAAACACTCAAACATTGTAAGTGAAGTCGTGCTAAGGATTTAGGAATAGCTATTCCCGATGCAGTTGGATTTCTCAAGTCCTATAATTCGCCTTTGTTAAATGCCATACTGGCGAGATCCAGCGGGTATAGCGTGGAGTATCAAGTCTTTCACTTAAACTTTAGGTCTAATGAATCAGTATAGCATAATTAAATGAATGAACAATTAAATGCCTATTGAATGTGCCTCTGTGTGTAAATTTAATTTTTTTAGCCATAGGCAGAATAGAATACTTCATCCAAAGATGTGCGAAATTAATTACTGGCATTCAAATTAAACTTAGGATGAACACTTAAAACAGCAGCATTTTCGTCAAAAATTTGAATAACAAAGATAAGCCGGAGAGTTGGCTAGATTTGTCCCATTTTTCTGTGGTATCAGTCGTAAATTAGAAAGCCAAAACGATTGTTCGGGGACCACCCACGGAAGGGCCAATACGGATCCAGTCCACCAATAGATTCCCTCCCCCCTCAAACCATTGGACACTTAGAGAGGCTATCAATCTTGTGATCCTATTCGCCACAAGATGAGATAGTCAAAACGAGCTACGGCTATTCAGTAAGATTGGAAATTGGTTTGGCTTATTAACGAGATTTCATTCAAAAACAACTTTATTCATCAAAAATTCATTCCTGCACGTAATAATGGACACGTGCTATTTGGAGGGAAGTGCTGCAGTTCCATAAATCATTCAAGGGTGGTAAATTGCCTCAGTGTATCTAATACGAATGCAAAGGCAAGCCGATCACCGTTAAACCTGTCTCAAATGGACTAGTTATTGTTTATTAAATTTGGAACAGAAGAGTGCTATTTGCGATCGAAAAGTTGGTGTGGTGCTTAGTAGGCATCACCATAATGAATGGGTGCAATTTGTGGCGACTTCTTAAACGACCCTGCATGCGTCGCTAAGCGTGGACTGACATTGGTCGTCTCTCCATTCATTACATCCTAATCTGTTATACATTTTTTCTTATTTTGTGGCGTTAGCAGTGATTTAAGCCTGTCTGCTTCTCGAATCCAGCTTAAATCGGTTTCATAGCTGCCACTGTAGAGGCTTCTCCTTGACATTCCCTTCCTCCACACTACTTGACTTGGGCTTGTGCTACCAGCACCCATCGTCTAACCGTCTTGAAGTGATTGGGATGGTTTGATTCCAATGATGATGATTCACTCAAAGGTAGATGAATCACGTTATTGAGAGAAAGCCTTCTATTTCCTGACGATAATACTCCAACATAGAGTGTTTCTGTTGCGTAAAATGTTTCGAGATTATGGTGAGAAACCACTTTAACTACATCAAATAAGTGAGTGACAATGAAACACTTCCTTTATACCTGCATCGTATAGCACGAAATCCCAATTATCTTCAGAGCCTGTCAATTCGTTGTTCTACTGCATTTCTTCCACCCTTCACCAACTCAATATTTTCAATGCATTTTCTGACTGACAAACTGATCTGTGATGAGAAATGCCTTTTATATTGCAGCTTTTGTCACGCGAGCAACCATGTCATCAGTTGTCCACAAACGATTCATCATCATCCCACCACCCCACCATCCCGTTACTGCATGGCTTCACTACGCTTCCCTACCAACTCACTAACTCACCTTTCTATTAATTCACCATGCCAACTACAGTCCACTCTCTTCCGCCTCATTCCACCCATCCTCAGGAAAACTAGGCTGTCTGCGTGTGTGTGATAAATTTCAGAACCAATCATCCGTTGCTAAGTTTTTCTTACTGAGACCTAACTCATTTAGATAATTCAATGCAACTGGAAGGTGTGGAACAAAATATCCCACTTCAAAAGACTTCCAGGCCAGTCAGTGAGTCTGGAGATGGTAGCATTCTTGTGTAACAAAGCGAAATCTCATGCCATCACAAAAATTGATGGTGGAAAGCTCTTGTACTGCACTTTATGGTATGAGACGATGGGACGCCGATACTGCCTCAGTCTCTTTCTCAGGCTCATCATCATCATCCTTATCTCCTTATTTCCCTGATGACATGTCCCGTGCAGTGATCAAAACATAAGAAATCAGTGAAAAACTGGGGAGGCATAACTATGCCAACACAATTGTCACTCATAGTTCCATTTCACCAAATATTTATGATAGGGCTGTTAGTCCCTTCAAGGGTGTACTAACAAGTCCGTTTAGTGTTGGAACGAAGCAGCACATTAAAATGTACAAAACATTAGGGTCTTGCTAGAATTGGTTTCTACTAAGAGATAATTTTCTTGATTCAACTTGTTTTAAAGTGCATTTAAGGGCATCTACATTGATGGACCTTTAAAATTACCTTCTATGCACTTGCATGGACAAATGCAAACCCATGGACATTTAATTATTCCAAAAGGTGTCTTTGTGATGAAGAACAATACCACTGTGGCTACGGTATTTTTAACATTTACCTTCTGCTACTCATTTAAATAATGTAGTTAATTGCATCGTTTAGAATATATGAGTTAAAACATTTACTGCTTTACTACAACGTTTAAAATGGAAAGAGGAAATGGGGGCAGTCTCTGTAAATAACCGACTACTACATCTAGCGTTGGGGACTACAAAGTTTCAGCAACTTGCAAGGCAGTAAATCGAGGCTGTGAGGCGAAAGAGGAGGCAGAAGTAGCGGAAAGAAGATGAAGTTGCCTTGCTCTGTAACGAATGTCCATCTCCCCGTCGCACACCACACCTGCTTGCACTTAATTTGCCCAAACTCGGCCATGCACACGTGTGCTACGTGTTTTCGTGGGAGGAAAGGCTGAAGGAAAGGGGATCAAGTGGCGCCCGTTTTTGCAAGCACGGGGGTCCCATCTGGGCCAGGCACGTGGTGCGGTATTTTAGACGCCTCCGACCTCCTCACAAGAAGCATCGATATGCCTTTGTCCGAACAGACAAACGATCGCGCTACAAAGAGGCTCTAATCAATCGGATGAATGTATCCTTACGGCGCGGATACTGACCCATCGAATGATGTACCACTTACCACTGGAAGCAGTGGCATCTGTGGGTGTGCGTGTACATGGGGCACATGAAAAGTTTCAAGGTGCATTGCTTTGGTGTTAAACACCAATTAGTTGAAACTTTTCATATCATCATCGCGCTTCAGGGAGAAATTATCGTGATAACAAACACTATATATGCCCAAATATATAAGTAGTTAAGTGGAGTATCAGTAAGAACGTAAATATATATCGAGCACATTTCTCCAAATACATCATCAAGTGGGGTTGCAGCATTGTAGGATAATAATAAAATAATTTTGGAGATTTATTTAAAGTGCTTCACTCACCAAAGTAATTATTATCAAAATCTATAATCCTTCCACAGTGAAACAAAAGTTTACCGATCCGCTTCAATAAAGCTTTTTGTTTCTGTAGGCAAACACATGCGCTCAGATGATTGTCTGGGACCAAGGAGAGGTGAAATCGTCACATGGGCCACATGTCGGTGAGATGCGGAGGATGAGGATGAGGCAGTATAGTTCTTTGAACGCATCAGATCCTAACATGCAGTATGAGGGCTTTCCACCGTCAATTATGTGATGATTTGAGATTTCGAGATGTCTCACAGGAGACCTACCCTCTCTTGACTTATTCTTGGTGGCTTCTGATGTGGAACACTTTGTTGAGCACCTTCCAGTGGTATTGAGTTATTTACATATAAGATGGGTCCCAGCAAGTAAATAATTGGCAATGAATGATTGAATCTGCGATTCATCCCACACACATGCACACACAATGGGTACTTTAGAGGTGTGGGAGGGTGAAGTGGGTGGAGTGAAATGTGGCGGGAAGTGGAGTGGAATGCGCTTGGGTTGGTGGGTTAGTGAGTTAGGAGGTAAGTGCAGGCGAATAGTGCGGTGACGGGATGGTGATAATGATGAGCCATTTGGGGACAGCCAGTGATATTTTCCTTCTCTTAACGAAAACTACAAGGCAAAAGACATTTCTCATGGCAGGTCTGTCCGTCAGTCAGCAAACACATCAAAAATAGTGGGTTAGCACAAGGTGGAAGAAGTGAAGAAGTTAGAAAATTGGGAACTTCAAATTGATAAGCTTTAAGGTTTATTGGCATTTCTTCCTGCACGATGTAGGGTCTAATGGAAGGGTGTCTTCACCACTCACTCATTTGATGTTACTAAAAATTTTGCTCACGTTAATTCCGATTCATTTTGCTCAATAGCAACACCTGACATTGGATTATTACCAACAGAAAGCAGAAGACCTCTCATTTACGTGATTTATCAGCCAAACCAAATAATTTCAACCACTTCCAGACGGCCAGATGTTGGATACTAATAGCACTCACCCATTTCAAGTGGTAGGTAGAAGGCGAAACTGCAGAAGTTGCCTCTGCAGCCACAGATGTGGAACAGAGCTAAGTTGGGTTTATAAAGCAGACATGCTTGAGGAACCGCCAACGCATCCGGCATTTAATTTGGAGATGCAATAAGGGAAACGCATGACAGTACAACAAAGTGAACGCCTATACTGATGTCCTTCCATGATTTACAAGTCGCCACACTTAACACTGTTTCGATCATCCACCACAATTGTAAAATTGAATCTCCTGAGATCATAAAAATTCTTTGAGTTACAGCAAGCAACACTGGAATGTGTATGTTATTTAGGAGTTCAACATGCATAGATTCTTTGGTGTTTATTTGAATGCACCACTTGAACGAGAAGGCCTTAGTGATTACGAGCCTTGGAAGTCATCCATCCCCGAGGGGGAAGTGTACTTTAAGCAAGCAGAAGCCTGATTACCTTGACCAGGGTCATAGTGTCAGCGGTAGAGAATGCCTCTACCTAATCAATCCACCTTTGCCATAGTAACAAAGGCTGAGGGTGGAAGTACATACTTTAGACCTACTAAATTTAGTTCAAAATTGTCTGTGTTCATTTTTGTGAATAACTATTTACCTGGCTGAACATTTTCCTGTTGAATTTAATTATAACCGTAGGACAACATTTTCAGCAGATAGTATAAAAAATGTTTTTGGCTAATTTCTTGTTAATAAGCAAATTCATTCATAATAGCATTCTTCTCCTCATCTAAACTTTAGTTGACTGATAACTTGTTATGTTATAAAAGTAGCTTCAATTGGACCGAGTCAAATCAGCAAATTAGAAAAAAGCAGCATAGCTTTTGACTTCATTTCAACACAACTGATAAAGTGCTGGTAAAAATAACTTCAAATTTTCGTTTCAATACCTGTCATCATTTTACCATCCATTTCTAATTCATGAAGCTTTTCTCACATCAGCTCTTGTACAGCTTCACAAACTTATTATTTGTAAATTTTTTTTTCTGACCAAACTTCATCGCTTGTACCAAGGTGTGAGGGAAGAGGGGAGGGATAACGGAATGACCGCCCAGGCCACACAAACTGCGCATCGTCCCCAAATTCCACCAATCGGAACACGCCAACTGGGGGATAAGTTAGCACCCCCAGGCCAAGACGGGAATATGGACACTTTTCAAACAACATCAGCAATGTACTACGATTGTCTGCGGACCTCTACAGCCGAGGCTAACAACGAAGAGTGGATTAGAAGTGAGGCCTTCCCCAAGTACTTTTCCAGCAACTGTGATGAGCATGTGGGTGGCAAGTTGCAGTATCCATTTACGACCAGTTGCTCTGACGGTGAGTATTTTGTTGTAAGTTTTGCCAAATTGGATAGTTGTTTGCTTCCCAGAAAGTTGTTTTAAGCAAAACATGTAGATGTGAGTCCTAACGAATCAACTTTTAGAAAAAATGGGGGTATTCATCTGATTGAGCGGGTAAATAGGGGTAAACGATAGGTCAACCTCAGACCTATAACAATTTTATTTTTCGATTTCAGAGATTCTCTCAGACGACCATGTATATTCCAGCTACCTGCTGTCAAGACCACCTAAAGTTAAGGCAAACCATGAGGACACAATAACCCAACGCTTTCTTGCAAACGTTCGTGAGCGCCAAAGAACACAGTCGTTGAATAAGGCATTCGCTGAACTTCGACACATTATTCCCACTTTGCCCTCAGACAAACTCAGCAAAATTCAGACGCTTCGTCTAGCAACGCAGTAGGTTCTTGTAGGTTGTGCGCGAAAATAGAGCATAAAATACAATTTGTATGTGGCCATCTACAGTGAAATAATTTGCCTACTTTGTGTGGCTGCCTGCGTCTAAATTACTTACATACACTTCGGAGATAAGCTAAAAGCAATCTCTTGGCCAAAAATATGCCCTCACAAGGTAGTCTAATTTTAAATACAATTGATGTTATCGTCAAATCCAATCACTTTGTCCTCCTTCTAGATACATCAACTTTCTGTCAAACCTTCTCAAAGATTCACATCATTCCCGTGACCCCCATCCAGCAGAACTTGACATGTCCACAGAAGTCTCACAATCTCCACTGCTACGCAAAGGCTCAGCAAGTGGATGGGAGAAGGAGGGAGAATTGCCTTTGACATCAGCCACCATTAGTAGAGGCGCCTACTCAAATGCCGGGGCTCCCCGAGAAGCTCACAGCGTGAGGTTTAGTCAGGCTCTGTCCCTCTGGAGAGAGAAAGACGAATGACGTATTGTAAAATTTGCCAAAAGGAAAATATACTCCCATTATTAAATGTTTCTCTTTCTGTTGTATTTAAGTTTGTATTGCTTTAAAACGAATTGTCAAACCTCAATTATTATCGACTTCTTGCATAATTTTCAATTGTTGTAGCATTTTAAAATATTTTAGCAATGAATGGTAGGGCGTTAAGTTCAGGGATTTTTAAATCTTCAACTAAACAGTCTTTAGTTCACATAAATTAAAAGTACCAACTTTAGAAACTAAATTGCTTTGACTTTCTCGGACTTAATCATGCTTCCTCTATCTAACAACCCGTCTTATGCATTTATTCGGTTCTTAAAAATCATAAACTTCGAAATTGTGAGCTTTTATTGCATTTAATGCATTTTCAAATCGAGATTCCAAACACGGGTGTAGCATTAGACTCTAAGAGGAAATAAATTTTACCATTTTTATGTGCTTAAGCCTAAATGTAGTTAATGTTGCCTTTGATTCGTTCAGCTGCAAATTGTGAGCAGATTTTTCGGTACTTGGAAAGCCAACAAACAATGTGAGTAAAATTTTCTCATTTATTTGAGGTGAATAGTACCTTACTGTCCTAAGTTTTGAACCAATAGATTGAGAGCAGTCAAGACAACTGTTTGTACTCTTTGTGCCCTGATTTTTCCTAAAAAAAACTGAATAATAGGCTGCCCTTTGTCTAAAGATTTTACGCAAAGATAACAGACCTTACCTCAACAACTTAGGCGTCATGGGAGCGAGCAGCACCGTTAAGAAGAAAGTACTCTGCTGGTAGGAAAACACAGACTTCTATTGGAGAGATTGATGATACCGTAGAAGCAAGAAAGGGAAATGAGTTGAGAACTTAGAAACGCGGCCTACAAGTTGATGTTACTCCGTCAGTGGATAATAAAGAATTTCAGGTAATTATGATCGCTTATTTTGTGTAAGCACAATCGAATCTCCTGCTTCTCTCTGACTTACACGTAATTTAAAATACGAAAAATTGTTTATGTAGGCTATAAATGAGGATTTTGGCTTAAGAGTAAAGTTGTCCGATGCTGTTGCTTTACAATGTCACACATTTGGCTGTTAGTATTCTACACAAAATGTACCAGGCACACTAAAACGGCACACTGGACTTTGCTTCCAAAATTTCGGCGCTTTTATGCCCACATTTATTTTATACCAGTTTTTCTTAAGTTTTATGGTTGATTTTTTTAAAAACTATTAAGAAAGCTGTTTAAACTCAAAATTACAGTAACGACTGATTAATGGGCTTCTTTCATTGTTTCCAAGACCGCTATCACGGATGGAGATCGTTTTCATGAAAGAAACTCTAAACACAGCCCTTTAGTATCATCTCCATCTAAATTCTCTTCATCCACCAAATGCCGTAAGAATCTGCAACCATGTAAACAGAGGGAATATTGCGCCTGCCTAAATGAAGCGCTCTTTTTAATTAGTAAGTTTTCCTATTTTCATCATGTTAAACGGCTTCACCATTATTTAAACTGGGTTGCCAAGGCGGCCAATTAAAGATTGTCTATGTAAATACGTGAAACTACACGGAGATTTTTCAAAGATTACCTATTTTGCAGTTGGATAAGATAATTAGTAAACTATACAAGTCTATTTAAAGTGACCAGAACCCTATCTCATAGTCGTCATTCCCAAATCCCACTGTATCCCTTAGGTAATGAAGTATCAGTGCACAAGAATAAATTCTTGTTTTAAAGCATTTAGGCTTATGTATAACAATGTGGATGAAGGGGTAATTAAACGCATTCCTTTTTAACACCTTAGGTCTTCTTAATCAATCGGACACTCGATGGACTAACAACCACAGAAACAGATTTTCAGACGGATAGATTTTGCCTGTTAAAGGTTCTTTTTTAGAAAAAAATCTATGCTGCCTTTTCAACTTGCCCCATTTGAAAGCGATTAAAATGTCCGTTTTACTAAAAAATTTTTTCAATTGGTTTAATTGTTGTCATTGAGTCAACATCAATTCAAAAATCAACTTCTGCTTTTTTTACAAACAACTTCTTAGATGAGTATTTTGTGGCGATGTAACCATTTATATTATCCCAATTTCCTTCAAAGATGTCAACATAAAAACCAAATAATCTATAAATGTGAAAATTTGAACGTTTGCCGCACCAATACACTGCCGAGGTAGGTACTTGTGGATAGTGCTCTCTGTAAAAGCATATTTCAAATCTCGTCATTTTTAGAATCCTTTATACAAGGTAAAAACACTTATTACAAATAAGAGATTTAGAATTTAACAGCGTCAGTCATTTTAAGCATATTCCTAACGCGATTCGAATAGTTGACATAAGTTTAGATTTAAAATTTATGCCTCAGCCACCCTATATTTTATTGATTTGCCAGTATATGCAATTTCAATGCGTTCCTTGAGCATAAAAAAGGCTCTAAATATTTTACACGCATTAAGCCAATGTAGCTATTTTTTTGCCTACCTACTGACAAATTAATCAGTAATTCATCTGTAAGCTCTAAGAAAAGTACTTGATGCGGTTCGGTCTTATTAAATAATTTTTTCATGACTGAGGTTAAACAATTTCCACAGATCTTTTTTGCTGTTAAAGCACGTGTGTCTAAATATGTGCTTCAGCAATTCGCTTTGCATTATTATAGGAAACCAGTGACATTACCGCGATTCAGTTTTAAAGTATAATTCAGGTCTACTACAATGTCATGATGACCTTTGTCCTCCACCCGTCCTCATTTTAGTGACTACTAAAATCATTCAAATGGTGAATCCTACAGAGTCCAGTGTAAATAACGAAACTAATCCAAATGAAAAGGTAGAACTCCGTGATGTACGTGTAAGCAGTGAACCGCCTTTCTCTTCAAAAATGTATCCAAGATGCTATTATCAATCACATTGTGTTGCCACACCAGTTTGTTTGCAAATTCGCTCTAAAATGTATTTATGCATGACCAAATTCTTTTGATTGTTTAAGTTATACTTTTAAACTTTCAAAACTAATCCATATTTAAAGGGAGAATTTTTAGCTAAAGAAAGGTCATTTGGGGATTTTTTAAAGTCATTCGAAGCATTGAAACCTGAAAGTGAAGCTATTACAAAGAATGTCGGCGAAACCGGCGATCTCACTAATGCCCCCACCCACACTACGTACCAGGAACAATTGGAATCAGCCATGAACAAGATGGGCTTAACAATGGATGATTATTTGAATGTGTGTTCTACCATTTAAAACCTTTTCGAATTGATATACTGTGTTTGGAAATCTTTCGAGCATTAATTTCTATACATTAATTTAAAAGTGGTCTTTTTGAATATTTACCTACTCTAAGTATTAACTTTTTCCTAGGAAATTAAGTTCTTATTAAATTCATCAAGTCAGCCAAGACGGAATTTATTTGAATTTCTTTAATGAAACAGTAATTTTATGGTTATTGCAAGATAATCTGTGCAGTTTACTTTAATTTAAGGTTAATTGTTAGCTTTGGCAAATATATAAGACAGTAGTTTAGCATAAATAGCTTTGATGGACCAAAAGGTCAGTGTACTGTCGGTTTATTTAGTATTTTGCTTTTAAGGCACGATCTGCATGGTCTGGTGATGCAGTGTTGGTGGAAAATGTGGACACTACTGATTTGGCTAGTGACCAGGAGTTGTCTAAGCTTGGGCTAAATGAGGAGGAAATTAAAGAAGTAAACGAAACAGCTTCATCAAAAATGGGCATGTGATTTCTTACTTCTTAAGACTCCATTTCAAACAACTAGCCTTAACTTCCATGAGTTGGTTTAAAACTCTGCGTTATTCCCAGTCCTAAATTCTTTTTATCCAGAGAGAGAAAAGGTGAGGGATCTTTTGACCGACAGACGGGATCCAATGGCGCAACTTTTGAGTTCCAATTTCGATGCCGTCTCCTCGGAGGTAAAGAACCATAAGATGTTTATGTGCATCTAATGTGTTTTTACAAATGATTTTTCGGAGTCACTTTGAATCACATATGGTTTTTTTTTAAATCAGCACGAAAAATTTCATGAGATCTTAGAAGATATAAGAAAAGATACGGAGTACATTCAGGAAATACCAAAGTGGCAACTGGAGATGCAGAAGCGCTTGGACATGCTTCAGCAAATGCGACTGGTTGGTTTCAAGAAAAAGTTTCTACTGACCATTCAATCAAATTCGCAAAAGAATAATACAAATAATTCTTAGGATATAGAAGCTGACTCCCTTAAACAGCGAGAGAAAGGAATCAAAGATGACATGGACATAAAAAGTAAAATAAAGGTGAGCGAAAAAGGGGTAAAAATATACACTTTCTAGCGTCGTGTGGCTGAGTTAGAGGCATCTATTCAAGAGGGAAAAGAACAGCTCGAAGAGCTAAAAAATTGAAAAGTTCAGCTTTTTCCACTAATGATGACAAGAGAAATAAAAATGTTTGGTAAGAGGTTTCTTTACCGATCTTAAATGGTCAGCTATGTTGCTAAAACAATATATTGTTCCATTTTTAGAAAGTCAAGGGAAAATTGATTTGTAAAACTGCTTTCATCGTAAAATAAAAGTGTTAGTATACAAATATGGACGGTTTCTAATTTTATCAAAATTGAATCAACGTATATGCAGAACACAGTGCACAAAGCTGACATATGTCAGGGACAAGCAATTTTGCCATAAACAAGTAAATTTTAAGAAAATTTTCGGCTAGTATACTGAACAGCTGATGCATTTGCGCAGTATGGGGTTGATTTTTCTCTGGAGACTTTTTTTGAGTGGATAAGCGTTATACAACACATTGCCAACGCTGCCTTATCTTAAAACGCAGTCAGGGAACACAATGTTTCTAGCTTGAGCGAAGCATCGAAGTGAAAGTCGCATTTTTGGCCTTAGATTTTCCTTTGCTTTGTTTTATCAACGATGCTCCTTGGACTTTCCATATTCATTTAGTATTAGTGGCAGAGAAGAAAAAATGTGTTATATAACCAAGTCTGCTACTTACTTTTTAGGTGTGGGAAAGTTTACTGTGTGTATCAATCAAGGCGCTACTTATGTTATCTGTTAGTAGGTATTTACGGACCTATTTTGCACTGTGGTTCCCAATTACATCGAAATTATTGTAGTACTCTTGCATAAAGCTCAGATTCAACAGATTGCAACAGAATGACAAAAAAGTAAAGCAAAATAAGGGTGGCTTTTTCTGCTATCTACATTTAATTTGTTAATAAAAACATCAAAATTGAAAGCGAAATGAAGAAATATAAATGTAAGAATTGTCCATAGCAGTCAATTCATTCATGTGATAAATTATTTGTAATAATATTCAAACGGTGTAATTTGGGTAGTAAATGTTTTTAAAGAATATCTAAAGAGGAAATAAATTAATGTTCAAGAAAGGTACGCGAATAAGGTGTTGGAAAGAAATTGACCACAAATTAGTGAATAGTACGTTTAGGTAGTGCTTTTGAATAATTTATCCCGTCGAGCCGAAGATCCCATATCAGCCTTTACGTTGATGATCCTAAAAATTGGAATTCGACATGTTAACGCTCCTTTCTCGGCGTTGCAACACGTATCCTAACATTTGTAAATGAAAACTAATCTGAACACATTTGCCGTTAAATTGCAACATATACACTTGAAGTAATACTGAGTAATTTCTACAATTTTACAAAGTTCCTAATTTGGATACCCCACTTAAATATGTCACAGCTATTAAAGTGCTCTACACCTGCTCGAATGCCTGACTGACAGAGAATATCCGTGTCGACGTTGATGGTAGAGGTAGTCTGAGGTGCGGCTAATGTAAAGCCGGCTTTTTGAATGCTCGTGAATACTTCTGGTGCAGTGGAAGGAGTGACGCCTTGCAGTTGCATCAAAAGAGGTGTGCAGAGGGCAGCAGAGCCAGGAAAGAGGTGGTAGGAATTCACGGGGGCACCGAAGCCGGCGCTATTGCTCCAATTCAAGGTTGGCTGCGAGACCGGGTAGCTGACGAAGTCTAAAATCTCCGCTGACGTCGCACGCGAAAGTTCAACTTTTGTTTGAGCACCTGTTGCGGTGTTGGTGATGGCGTGACCCTGCTTGTTCGCCATCACCATTTGAACAGCCTGCTCTGATATAAAGCGCACGAAGGCTTCTCCAGATGGCTCGCCCTTTATGCAAATGTCAAACAGAAAGGCTGATTTCTGAATGTGTAAATATAGATGGATACTTATACTTCTAAAAATATGCAAATATTTAGACATTTAATAATATGCCAAATTGTATTGTGCATTAACAAATATAAAGGAAATTATTCAGGCCCATTTTTTATTTTACTAATTACTTTTGGCCCAGTCCACTGTGTTATAGTTAATAGATTCAATTTAACAGTAGGATAATCCTTTAAAAAGTGCAGCAATTCGATATTTGTTTCAGTTTGCATTCGACTGCCCGCGCTCTTCGGTTCCTGCGTCGGCTTAACCCTTTGACCATGCCTATACCCTTCTAGTTCTTCTTTTAGTAAATAATAAGTTACGCTTCTTATTAGTTTATGAGGAAACTCTAGGGAAGACCCAGAAATCCACATTGGTAACATCCTAAGCCGGGCCTATCAAAGTTAAAACAGCTTTGTTTTGCCAACTGTTTACCAAAAAGGAAAGGGGTTAGAAGAGCACAATTTCCAATCTTACACAATAATCTTCCATGGAACGAAACCAGAATTCAATGAATTGTGACTAGCCTCAAGGAAAGGCTTACTGTTTCATCGAACGAAACAACTCCTATAATAGTCCAATGGGGTGCTATTTTTCCTTTCCCTAATTTTAGTTTTAGGCAAACATTCCCATGAAAAATGGTCGCTACAGAATGCGGTAGCTAAAGAGCGCCATCTAGTTTCTAGTGCCACATCTCAAATGGCACCTTTAATCAAGTCTGCCTTGCATAGGATGTGAATCAACCAGTAGTAACTTCTATATCGTCTAGCAGCTGATAACACTTCTCAGAAAGACTTCCTACGGTAGAAACAGAAGAGTCTACAGCCTCTCGTTTCTCTGGCAAGTTAATACATAATCTTTTTTCCCTAATAGTATAACTTGGAAGGCTCGGGGCGCTTCGCAAGCTTGCTACTGTTTTAGCTACGGTCATCCTCCCAAAATCATTTATGTTAGTATCTGTGACCAGTCGAAATCCATCTGTTTTGAAATTTCAACCGAAGCATGATTAAGCGATCATCACGATTTAAGTTCCACCTATTTCACTTTTCTTTTGGCATAATATTTATAGTGTATTGCATGAAGATGCTTTGAACGATAGTAATTAATTGCACCTGTTAGATCCAAACTTATCCTGTTAAATCCTTTACCATTTACATTTGCACCGAACGTTAAATTTTGTATTTGTGCTTAGGCAAGATCGTTACCGTAGCAGTATAGATTAGATGGATTCCATGCAGATTGACGGCCTGCCAGTAGACGCCCAAAAAGTTCAAGATGTCATTGACTGTTGTTCCCGGAGGCATGCCTTTCATTCTCATCAGATGACTCGCCCATAGATTTGAAGCTTCTGGCGGAAAACCACCAAGAGAAGTTAATGTGGTCAAAGCCATTGGTGGGATATTCAGTAGAGGCATTGTGAAAGTGGGACTTGGTATAAGTAGGCCTTTTGGAGCACTTGTAAACACGGATGGATTCTGAATTTCTAAGAGAGGTCCAGTCTGTGAAAGGAATGAATCTTGGTCGTATGCTGAAGGCCAGACCCGGGGGAAGATATCCGTTGACTGCTTCAGAACCGCATTCATGACCTGTGAATAGGGGTGGAGTCTAAACCTAGCTGCTTGAAAAGTTTGAATGTAACATCCAAATCGCTTCTTAGATCTAAAATAGCTGGAGAGGAATAGTGAGTGTAGCATTATGAAATCATGGTTCATATCCTGATGTTTCGCTCCTCATTTTGGAAGTATAATTCAGCTCAGACAAGCATGCTGGCTAAGTTATGGCGATGATGAATAAAATAATTCCAAGTAAGCTATTGGGGGTTCTAAAGTCATCGACTAACCTGATTGACCTCAGCAGGTGTGGACCTAAACAATTCAATATATCGGTTTCCAATGTGCTGACGGTGATTTTTGAGGGCTCTTTCCGCTGCCGCGTCTGTTGCAAACATGACAAATGCGTCACCGGTGGCTCGACCGTCCTTGCGGTTGACAAAGAGGATGCCCTCCCTATCGAATTGAACTTGGCAGTCGGTTTTTGCAAAAAAGGCGATCTTCAAAGGGTGCAACATGAAAGTGCAAGTTTAAGATAAATTGACAAATTGTTCGGAGCGAAATGTTTGAAAAATCTCAGTCCAAGAAACCCTTTCCCGGCAGAATCTACGAAGCCTCCCAGTAACCAGAAGTGCTCAAAGTAGCTGTGTTGAGAAATCATTGCGAAAAATTATTTTCAACTTAATTCGAAATATTTATGATTTGTGTAATTTACTAAATAAGACAGCATAATTTCCTACTGTTAGTATAATGTTTATGTAGTTTTTCTACAAATATTAACTTTGTTACATAAAGTAACTTCTTACTGGCTGAAAATTCATTCATCTTGTTTTAAGATAAACTGCCATGTTGTGTCGCCCTGTTTTAGATCGAAACATTTACGTATATTTTGGCACCTTCTATAACTCAAATTCATGGATTCCAATCAGCCATTTATTTTCCTTTAATTTTGCCGACTAGAGAAGAGGCCAACGAATTGTTACTCACTAGTTGGTTTATACTACTCATGGTAGACTTGATGAGATAATTTGAAGAAGGGTAAAACAGTTGCACACAGTTGCACGCATAACCCGACCGCAGCTCAAAAAATCAGCTTTTTGCCGTACCAACGCTCACCTTCATCCCAGATGTGGACATATTTTACGCCTCTCCTCCTTCAATGAAAATGAAAATAAATTCTGGATGCTGAAAAAAGCCAGACCAGTTACACTTTTCATTTCAAGGCACTTTTTGTTGGGAATATCATGCCTTCCTAGATTAATTGAGCTATATTCTTTAATACCTGTCTTTTCATCCTCATGCCTGACACAGCTGCACCAATTCAGAAATAATTTGCATTTTTTGGTAAAACTAACTTCTATCCGACTAGCAAGGAGTGGAAATTTGGCGCTGATATGCACGTATAATTAACTAACATGCGTAGCTGAAACGGACATCGTAGTCTCATCTGTAGGCATTCATCAGCGGTGTTTGATTTCATGGCATTTAGATACTAGATCAGAGAGTTATTAAACTGCCGACTATAGCTGTATCATAGCTGTCAGTTAAACTCCATGTGTATTTAACTTTTTGTGCTATATAAGATGTAATTTTGCAAGCAGTTCTAAGATCAAAGTAGTAGCAGATTGTCCTCTGTGCTATAAGTCGAGCTGATTCAATTATTATTCAAAGTTTTTGGAGTCTACAGATTAATCAGCACTATGAGTTTTCTTTGACCAGTGGTGAATCCATTTAAAAATTGAAAATATTGAAAAAGCATGATGGTTGCATAAATCATGACTCTAAGTTCAAATATCTGATAAATGAACACTGATATATCATTTGTTCTTAGATACTTGCGTAATAATAGTTTCGTCCTTATTAAAAACTAGTTTGAACAAAATTCTGCAAGAATGCTTGATACAATTTCAAGTTTTACGCTATTGATCAAAGTGGTGCTAGGAAAACTTTCTAAGTTATAGGATTGCTGTAAAAGTTCGTGCTGTAATTCGCAGACACTTGCGAAATGCCTTTATATCCATTGTAAGGCAAGGCTTGCCTCGGTCGGTACGCCCTATTGTGCTTTGTACTGTATTTATTCTATTATTATCGCCTATAAAATGTTTGCAAATTCTGAAGTTATTCTGCAGTGTCTGCTTCACGAACCCAGATTAACCCGGTTTCATGGCTCTGGCTGCAGAGGCTTCTCCCATAGCTTCTCTTCCTGCGTACTCGTCCGCTCGTCTAGAAGTGGTGGAAATAATTTGGTCATCATGATGATGGTAAATCCACTCAATGGTGGATAAGTCATGTAGTTGAGAGGGACCTTCTACTCCTTAGCAGTAATAATGCACCATTAAAGGCTGCTAATGCGCATAATAATTCGGGACTGAGTGGTAGCAAAACACTTCCTTTACACCTGCATCGTGCAGCCAGAGATGCTAATATATCTCAAACCCTGTCAATTCTATGTTCTTTACCTCTTCACTTCTTCCACTCCGTGCCAACTCACTATTTTCAGTGCGCTTGCTGACTGACGGACTAACATGAGATGAAAAATGCCCTTGGCATTGCAACTTTTGTCAAGCGAACAAACACATCAACGCCTGTCCCCAAACAAATGATCATCCCACCATCCCATTACCGCACTGTTCCACTACACTTCCCTACCAGCTCACTAACCCACCATTCTAACAATCCATCAAGCTAACCACACTTCACCCAACCTCATGAAAACTGTGCTGCCTTTGTGTGTGTGAGTGTAGGTTTGGTGAATTGCAGATGCAATTATCCATTAGTAATTGTTCAATTGGTAAGATCCGTCTTACCCATACAACTCAACACGACTGGAAAGTGAGGAACATAATTTTCACATGAGAAGCCTTCATGACTAGTTAATGAGTTAGAACAAGGTACCACTCTTGCGAGACATCGCGCACTCCCATGCCATCACAAACATTGATGGTGAGAAGTCCTTATACTGTACTTTGGATGTGATATGATGGGAGGACAATGCTGTCTCACTCCCTTCCCCAAGCTCATCCTCATACTCATCGTCATTTCCATCCTCTGCATTCCACTGACAATACGTCCATTCTAATGATTTCATCTCCATTTGGAAATGGGCAATCATCTCTCCACATCTGAAGCAGAATGGACAATTGGAGGGACATCAAAGTGAGGTAGAAGCGAAGGTGGCTGTGGACAGTGTTTTTTTGCTTATAAAAATGAAGCACTTGGTAGAAGTGAAATTGGTGAACTCTTGTTTCACTGTGGAAAGGTTATAAATTGCGATGCGGATTACTTCAGTAAATATAATATTCCAAACAAATTTCTGAAGTTATTAAATTTTACCATAAAAACTGCATGAACTTCTTCGGTTTCCCGGTGTTTATTAAGTTAAATTAAGTAGTTGCTGGACTCGGCTCTATGAAAGCTATCCTTCCTGGCATTAACCTTTTGTAATTTTACGTCAATTACAGCGATTCTGCACTACACGATTTAATCCCCGATCAAGATTGCTTATGAGGGTATGGGTAACACTTAAGTAGAAATGCAATTACGCCGGCAAAAAGAAGTTGAAAATGAAATTCAGCCTAGTTTGGGGAAAAAAGTATCGGAGCTTAGGAATGTCGTATGCCCAAGCAAACAGCTGCTTACGATTTCTTCTGCAGACACAATGTAAGGCAGGCCTCTCATTCGAAGTAATGACTGCGATGGTGTTGTAAACCTGCTCAGGTAAACCTCCGCTTCCTGCGTCTCACCTGAAGGCCACATGAAGGAATAATAAAGCATGAGCCATTTAGACAACTTCTCAGGTGAATTCACTTACTTACTGTTTGTGATAGCTTTTTCATTATTCGCAACATCTAGTTTTGATCACACTTCAAATTTAAAACCCAAAGACGTTTATTTTATTTATAAGAAAGGTAGTGCTTTGACTGAGCTTCCCTCACCGCCTAGCAGACGGCCACTATTTCCCTTTGCAATAACCTTCCCCTTTGTTAACTAAAAGATTGTGCGTTGTGGCATTACAGATTGAAATATGTTAAGACATAAAATAGTTTCTGCTATCAATGCCTCCTTTTTAAAAAATGAATAGTCAACTCCTTCTTATGAGCCAGTAAAGCCCTATTAACTCCACCTTGGGCAACAGCAACAAATTCAGCCGATTGAGCAGCGTAAATCTCGATGTAGCGTTGATTCATGTGATGCTTGTGTTTTCTCAACGCCAAATCACGCTGTTCGCGGCTGGTAAAGCGAATCACGGCCTCGCCGTTGCGTCGACCAGCCTTACTGAGGACCAGCGCGATGCCACCGGGTGCGATATTGAGACCGCGAAAGAAGTGCTGGACCTCTGCGTCTGTCGTCTGCCATGGCAGGCCGCGTGCTCGCACCACAACGTCTTCCACCACCACTTCCGTGCTCTTTCTGACAAAAGCGTTGTGAATTTGTCGTATGGTCCAGTAATATTGCTTTCAGAATTGTCAGTTTCGCTAAATTAATTTATAACTCACTATAATGCTTCTTTTGCTGCAAAAACAAATCTAATAATACACCGAAAGGTGGGAACTCATCCCCATTGGGTAAATGTGTTAAACGGTATTGTTTGAAATCCCATAGATATACACAAATGCAATCGTAATATGTTTGAATTATCAAGAACTCATTTTGAATAAATATGAGTAAGTCGTATTTACTTTAGTAGCTTCAAATTGCAAGCTTCTCGCGAAAACCGCCTATGCTAGATAAATCTTCAACCATGGGGATGCGATTACTAATTTGGCTATCAAAAACCGAGAAAACTGAAAATAATTTTTGCACAAATGCGGTATTTCATGCATCAAACCATACAGAATATTTGATACGAAAGCTCCCCAGATGAGTTAACTGGAATCTTTTAGAGTGTACAACATTGGATCTGCCAATTTTCGGTGACGCTATTGCAGTAATACTTTAACCGTTTGTTCAATTGCTGGCTTTATTAACGGGCCACTTTGGGGTTTTGCTACTTCACCTACCTAGGACGGACTGGCTTCTAGGCCATGACAGTAGCCTCAGCTCTTCTGTACGTTGACAATAATATTCTGCTCTAATATGATGGCTTTTTTTATCTTCAGGAAAGTCTTAGGATGCTAAATTGGTGGAAGTGGAAAGCGAACCCTATCTTAAAGGACAACCATCCCGATTTCTAATGCTAGGCGGTAAACCTTAGCGGGGCGGAAGGAGTGCATATGTTGTGGGTGGGAAAATCTGTGATAACTCCTAACAGAAGGATTGGAAACGAGGTCCATCTTCAACAGCTACCCCAGTCCCGTGTCCTGCTGGAAAGCTTTTAACAACTGAAGCGGCACTAGCCATAGCCATGAACCATCTGAAAAGTTTAATTACGGAGCTGTTTACCTTACCTGTATGTAGGCATCAATTATGTGAACACGCCATACTTCCTTCGCTTCTCTACTAGCTGGATGGAACCCAGATAGATGTAAAGTGGGCAGCGCAGAAGGGAGCACAATGTGGCAAGAAGGAATAGACTCAAGACCCTACCCCAACGTAACTATGTTAAACCGCGTCCCTTGGCGTATGATTCCGCTTTTGGGTCAGTGTTACTCAGAATAGCGATGGACAAACGTGATGGTCTGCATATTCAAGTTTTTTCCAATGTAGTTATCAAGCAGGACGAAACTCCATATCCAGTGGAATTGCCAAAAGGAATCAGTGACACTGCATGAAAGTTCGATGACTGACACGGTTGGCTCGGGGATGTTTTCTTTACAGCGCCAATCACGTTGTGACAGCCACCGGGGGAGCTTGGCAATGCGAAGCGTCAGGGATGACGCTCAAAAAGAGCGAGGGGCTATGTAACAGGTGATTTTTTTGCTTTACTCCCTGTTTCAGTGATGGGCCACCTAGGGGCTCCGCCGTTGGCATGGCCTTCGGGCCTTGCCAATGGTCCTAATTCATGCTGAATACCAGCGTTACATTTTCTGCCTGAATATCATGTCTTCTTTCAACTTCTGGGATGCCTTGGGATCCTATATTTACACACTGCATCGTTAACCAGCCTCGTAGAATAAGACACAATGCATGTAGATTCTTAAGCAACATTTTTTGCATTTATTTTACCTTAACTTAAGTCGTTTAAAAAACGGTAGTAGGGTGCTTTAAAATAGGGCCGGAATATAAGTAATGTTTTAAAGTATTTTCCAAACTGAACGTCAAGCGACGAACAATAGTTAGGCAAAATCTGGGTTTCAAAACGCACTATAAACGAACTAAGTAATTTCCTACTTTAAAATTTTCATATAATTAACAGAGGTCAAATGTCACCTTAAAAACCAAAAAAATTTGGAATAAAACTACTGAAATATGGGGAAACGAACAGCAAATCGCAAAAAAATTTTCCTTTAATTTGACCAAATTCCACAGAAGCAATTGAGTGATTATATTAAACATCGTGCTGGTCAAAACAACTTATCAGTATTCTTAAGTGAATCTAGTGACTTTAACAACGACCTGTCAGGATGAGTTAAAGCATCATTAATAGTCCTAAGGTCAGTGATTTTCCAGTGTATTCAAAAAGTAACAACAGTGCTGGAAGTTTGGCAAGATTAACCGTCCACTCTTGCTAAAGATACCGTTCCACACCATGGGCATTCTTTATGGTGTAGCAGTTACTTAGGCTAGGAATTAGACTGAACGCCCAGTATGCAGTCGGCATTCCGGGCGTGTGAATACGTGACCATGTTTATGATTTAACGGTGGTACCATTTTTCAGTCCCAATGTTTTTCGCATCACATATCTCGCTTTCATAAACAACAACTTAGAAGAATAATGGTGTGCGATTAAATCATGGTTATCAATGTTTACAATTTTAGGCTTTAATAGAACATACTGCACAGAGAAGGTATAGAAGAACTGGAATGTGCTTTGCAGGAAATCGCTGACTTACATAAATTTTGGTTGGTAGTGGATGTTTATGCCCTCATACACATTCCAGTCAGCCCCTAAAATTGCAGTAATTTGCCGAATCTTACCATCAGCAGTCATTTTTGCGCAAAGTTTAGCCATAGTGCGACAGTAGAGACGAGGCCAGTAGCCCAGCTGTTGGCACTGCAGGGACCTCTCATTTTGTAACAAGGAATTCCCATTCACCAGCGAATTCACAACCGCAGTAGTCCAAATGGCTTGTTCGGATGCGATACTGGACAGAAAGTCCGGAGTAGAGAGATTCAAATCTATGGAATTAGCAAAGCAATTGTGGGAAATAGTTTTCATTTCGGTTAGAAACAGTTTATGATGCATTAATTGCATTGACAACCTACCTTGCATCATTTCTGTGAGAGTAAGGCGGGATTGAGTATTCGGATAAAGCAGCATGTAGACCTTCTTCAGATCAATGAATCGACAAAGGTAAGGAAAGCTTGCGTAGGTCTTGTCCATAGGTTGAGTGAGAGTTGGGTGTAGAACTAATCGCAATCCTACTCCGCCATCAACAGCCAGCTCGAAGTGGGACTTCCTTGACACATTTGATGATTCAGAACCGTTGCAAACATGATAGAGACCTTGACTTCTTAGCCATGTATCAAGCTTGGAATCATAATAAAATGCGTTTTATCCATAAAACTGGAATAAAATTCGACTAAAGGCCAAATTTAGCCAAGCATGCTCTACAAAGAAATCAGAAGCTGCTTTTTCTTCATATGAGAACACCATATATTATAAATATAGGTAAAGTCTTGTCGTTAGATAAGAAAAACTATTTGAAATTATTCATTCGAAATAAATGGGGAGATCTAGTGTTCATTTTTTGTATAATAGTATTTTCAGCTCGAATTGGATGCAGGGGGCTCACTACGATACTTAACTTACGGATTCCAAGGCTTCTAAAAGGGAAGGAGCATCTCTAAGGTCTGTTACTTTAAGGCCCGTGAAATTGATGCATTCTTCAGAAATATCCACCTCTTCTTGACACGAAATGTCCATCAACTTCTCGCCTTTGTTTGATACTTCAGAATAGCAGCTGAAGTGAGGCTGTCTGACGTACATTTGCCATTCTGGACCCGTTGTCTGCAAAAAACAATTAACATCTTATTTCGATTGATACAGAACTATAAAAATAGGAGGCTACATTTCAAATCTCTTATTTACCTTAAAATTAACATTACCTACCAGATGATTCGGATGAGATAACCGGCGTATTATTAATGATCATCTGCGTCATTCGTAATTGTCTTCGACTCTTTGATTTGTATAAGAATTTACTGAATCGAGAGCCCCAAGGCAGTTCATAAATTCTTGCGCTCTAGAGTTGAGCCGCCTTCCAGCAATTCGTAACGACTAGCGATTATTCTATCGCAAATTAGCGTTCATCCTCCAATTCACGTCGGGTTTATTGTAATTTCAATACCGTGAAATAGAAATGACAATGCCTTCCGAGGATTTCAGGTCAACTTATGTTGAGAGTACAGAATGCTCTGTTTCGTCTAACTTTTGGTAAGGGCTAATTAACTAAAATTCAGTCCCGTTTTTGGAGAGGTGAGTGGTTAATTTTCTTTAAGAAAATGCAATTTCACGGTACAAGACTGTGTAAACGTGCATAGATAAGCCCTAGACATACGACCTATTATGGAGTGCTGTGATCGGTAGTAACCAGCACTCGGTTCCAAACTTGGTTAGCTGGCCTGCGAACCCACTCATCTCGGTGGCATTGTTACAATGGCAAAGCCGGCAGTGACCACCAATTCGTTACTTGCCTGGGCCTGTGTACAGGCTGCCTTTGCGGCGCTGAAAGACACGGTGCGTGTGCGTGGATGTGTGCACGCACGTACAGGCGTGCGTGCTAGCCTAGAGTTGAACGCCGGTTGAAGCATGTCGTGGATTCGACTGAAAGAGGTCACCGCCAGAGTGCAGGTTGGTGTACGCAGAAGGCAGTTGTGTGCAAGTATTCGTCGACCAGATAAACAATACTTTAGTACTAAAACGCATCCTGCTTGATTAACCCCAGGGTCACTGGCGGGTCATAAGGAAAACAAAAAATTTTTTCCACACATCAGGTCATTAGATTTGTTGCCCAGGCTGTGTTGGATGCTGGGGAGCTTATCAGAAGGTCTAGAGTGAATTGGAGCATAATTATACAGAAGGCGACGTAAGCAGTTTATATATTTCTGTGTTAAAGTGGGGATTTTTAAAGCGTATTCCATATATGTTTACCTTCCAAGGCCAACTTGATTTATGAATACTGCATGACTCAGCAATATTCCGACTTCTTTTGTTAATGCCCAGTTTTATTTTCTGGGGCCTAATTGTGTGCGTATAATTTAAACACAAGTAGTCTGATGTTCAGTATGCACAATTTGCGGTAGCGCTTTACACCAACAGTGCAATATACTTAACTTTATTTCAAGAATGGCCCTTATTTACCTACTATCTTATCAACACGAATAAAATAGTCAGCTTTCAAACAGGTCACTTGCAAACTTCAACCAGTATGGGGCTTTCCACTAGTATTGAAACAGTTTTTTACTCATGACTTTCGACAATTCATTATCAAGGTTTGTTAATAGATTGGACTCTCTTGGTCCTCGTAACGTCGAATTTGGACCTACTGTCTTCCAAAGAGATTGATAATTTTACGGCTATGCCTACTTCTTTTCGCCATTCCTACCGACCCACTAAGTGCATAGTCTTAAAATCTTTTTCTGCAACCTACGAGGTGGCATCAGGCAAAACCTTATTCACCTCGGCCCCTAGGAATCCGTGTTTCTTCATTTTTCCAAATATTTGCACTTTTCTACATGTCGATTAAAATTATTTTGTCCGAAAATGGCAACGCAAAAAATAATAGCAAATACTGAATATTCTCCCATGAATCGAGAACTAAAAGTGGAATGCTTGGACATATACACACCTTGAGAAAGCCAGTTCACTTCTTTTATTCCTCCTTCGAATAAAAGGTGGTAAATCCTTTTTCACCCAAATTCTTGATCACAAAAGTAATCCGATACATGCAATCAGACTGAGCCTACATTCCAATAAAAGCATAGACCAGCGTTTCTAAGTTAATGAAGTTTTTGTCCAATTGCCATTTTGGGGCATGGTTTCTTAAGTCTTAATAATGACGCCGATATATTACGTTTTGCAACACAAACCTACCGATTGTGCATGGATGTCGAAAATTTTGGCCGTGAGCATAGAAACAGCACTCTCATCGGTGCCCAATTCCGCGCCCTGCTTACCAAAGGATGCGATTTGCAGAAGCACCAGATAATCAGGCTGCTGTTGTTCCTCCAGGTGGTTCAGTTCTGCCTCAAAAATGGCTCCACTTACTGCAGCTTTCCTTTCACTGTCCATGCCTGCACCGGCAGAGTAGATCTGTGAACTCTCGACGAGACGGTCAATCAGAGGCGAGTAGCAGGGCGAAGTGCCCTTAATTGATTCCCCTTGGGTGTTGGACATGTGAGCGTGGCCTATAAGCGTGCACATAGCTGTCTTAGGGGAGGGGTGCTCCTGCTTGCTCCTGTGCTCACACCATGCACGCCTCCGGCACCTGATTGGTCAGTGAAGCGGCACGCCCGTTGAGTACCAATCAATGATCACGAATCACGTGCACGAGAATGAGTGCCTGCGTGCGTACGTGCGTGCGTTGGAGTGCTTGAGAGAGGAAAGCAAGAAATGAATTTGAAGACATCTGTAATTGTTTCTGTCCGTCGCCGGAAGTGGATGGGGTAATTACCTCTCCCTCTTTTGACTGCCATTTCTCTGGTTGCCAGCTCAAGTGTACCTCAGTTCAGCGAAGCAATTATATTGCTTGCAGCTGGAAATAGCTGCTTTAAGAATGGACCCTCGTGATTATTTGTGCCTCTAGAACCATCTGACCAATTTTGCAGGTCATCTAATCAGTGAGTGGTGCAAACAGGAATTGTGAAGTGTATCAAATATGGACAATTTGGTATTTTAAGAACCATGCATTGTTTTTACTTATTGTTTAGCATCAGTAGTAAAGCTTTCAGAGCTTTTTGTAGTACGTTTCTAGGGGAACCGGAAGCAATCGGAGATGGCTGCTTACCACCAGCTTAGAAACGGTTTTTAATCTTTGGATTTAACCGTAGGTGATCAGAAGAAGCAGTCAATTTTTAATGAAGCGGAAATTGAATAAAGCTTGCGTGATTATTATCTATGGCAGGCTAAAGAATTGTAATCCAAGTACTTGGGGAATTTTAACTCATCTCTTCACACATTTGTGTTATAAAGGGAAATTATGCACGAAAATGCTAAATCGTACACACGCACACCAAGTGGGCTCCTGTTACTTGACTATTCTAAGGTACCATGGTCCGTGATTCTAAAATATCGTTAAAAAGTTATAAATGGGGTATTTATGGCCTCTTCAAGGTCTGTAGGTAAAATTTTTATTTATTGTGTTTTCCATTGCATTTCCCAGCATCTTTTAATGCTTGTTTTTGGATACCGGCATTATGAAATTTCAAAATCATTCTAACCGATGTCAAGTTTCAAATCATTTAAGAATTCACAGCACTTTCTGAGATAAAAATGTCCTGTACTCTTGCTTCTCTTCTATAATAAACCTGTTTTTTCCTATACATTTCTTTTCAAACTAAACTAGCAAACCATTTTTAGAAATTTAATTCATTAAGATTTATTTATGCTTTGGGACCATCTTTTTTGTATAACGGAATAGCTAATCAATTCAATTTGAATTTTGGCATTTAGTTTACTAGCATCGTTAACTTTCGATTTCCCAAGTTTGTGCATAATATGCAATCGTTGAAAATTACAGTGGGAATTTCATACTTCCCCACCCTATGGTCTCACTTATGTAGAGGATGCTGACGCGAGTTTAAGGTAAGAAGAAATCGCTTTCTTTGATGGATCGCCAAATTTGCCAGAACTGTGACAGTCGTACGCAAATGCCATACTTTTTCAAGTACCATATCAAAATATAAAACAAATACCAATAACAAACGCAAAGGAATTTTTGGAATGGTTTCAAAGAAGTCCATTTAATACACTTTCCAAAGCCAGAAGTTCATCTTCTTGCCTCACAACCAAATCCTCCTTTAACCAATGGATTTCAGCCCCGTCCTGCCAGCAGACGGCCAGACAGCCACTGCAACCTCTGGCTACAGAGAAATCAACCACCCTACGCTCTCTGATGGTGCCAATGATGAGGGTTTGAGCACGGGGCTTCATAGTTGCTTGCTCCCCATCGAGTAGGGTCCATGCTATAATGTCGCCGTCCGTAGCTAGACAGTAGGTCACATTTGGACGATGGGGGGACCAGATAACCTTTCTGACACCGATTGAGGGCCGATCAGATTGTACCTTGATCAGCCACTTGAAGATGGGATGTGGATGGTGAGTCAGGTAGAGAGCTAGCTGCCCATCTGAGTAACCTGCGGCCGAATGCTATTTATTTCAGTCTTACATAATCTTTTGCAACCTTTTTTCACTTCATTTTTATTTGGTCTTTGCGTTACCTATGTCAACTTGCTGATTTCAATGCCTAAAAAGGTTTTCAAGCATAAGTGGCACACTTTAACTCTTTAGATAATGGGCTAGAAAGTCCTTTATTATGTTAATTAATTGTGTCCATGGAATTATTTATTGGCTTTCCACCGGGTGGGAGGAAGAATTATGCTAAAAATAAAAACTCCTAAATCTTTAGGAACTCTAGTTTAGTGTTTCACCGGAAAAATTGGATTTGTTCTTACAAGAAAAATAGAAATCCTATGCTTTAAGCTGTAAATTAGGATAGATAAATCAATATAAAAGCTACAAAGCATATGCTACTGACTAACCCCACAGGCGTAACTTCACCTCAAAATGTTAAACTCAACTTGACCTTAAATATCACGGAAATAATCAGATTATCAATTAGATCTGCAGTGCCTATGGCAGGAAAATGAGTACAATTTATTTATACGAGCTATATATCTCACAAATAAGTAATAAAAAGGTACTGAAAAGTAAATTACTCGAGGAACATAAGAGCTGTGCAGCATATCCCCTAGAATCATCCACACTAAGCAATCGGTCTCAAACAAGGTATTCATATTGCAATGATTTACAGATCAGACAGTTTTCCGACGTTCAAAAAGAGCTATACAATGAATGGCTAGCGTCTATTGGAATTTGGACTTGCTCTCGCTAGAAATAACTCCATTTTGGTTGGAAATACAACGTAACTTTCGAATTTCACTTCTAAATCAAATTGATCAAATAAAAATGGTTTTTCAAGTATAATTCATGGTCGAGATAGAAAAAAAGGGAACAGTAAATAGCTTTTGCATCAAAGCGTTGAATACTGTTTCATTAATCACTTCGTTCATAAGTAGTTGAAGTAAATCTTTAAGACACTATGCACGAAATATTGATGTTTACATCTGAAGCACTGTGAAAGCAGGAATTTCTCAATTTTATTACGATATCAGTTCAAAAAAGCCTTAAACTGGCATAAAAAGTGGGGATCACTTGGCCCACCCAATATAAACATAAACAAAAAGCATAAGTGCGTTTGCAACGACATCTCCGTTCCTGTTCATTAAATAAACTCCACACTAACATCTGCTACTTATTTACGCCAAAGTAGTACTTACCTGCAATCAGAACATTTGGCAGGAAGGGATGCAAAGCAAGACAGGTGACAGCTGCATCGGCAAAAGACAGCTTGAAGTCTCTGGGATAGATGCACTGACTAGGCACGCGGCACTTTTGTCTGATGTTGCCGTCCGCTGATCCAATGAAGAATTTGTCTGACGTTCGACATACTTCTAGACATGTTGTGAATGGAGCCAGAGAAACGTTGATCCCGCTGGAGACTGGGCGCTTATGAGAAACAGCCACACTTTGCAGTTATAACTGCAACCTTTTTAGTAGCATAAGGTTTTGCAGACCGCGAGAGTGGTTCGAGTATGTGGTTTAATATCCTGATTCAAAGGTAGGGCTTTATTTTTGATTAAAGAAACAAATTCAGCTTATCACTTATATGTACAAGCCATATCGGAGTAACCACTTATTTTTACGCTAAAATACCACTTTGCGCATGGCGGGAGGACTGTATCATACAGTAAACGGTTCCATTGGATCATTTCGCCATAGAATAAAGGCAATAGCGAAAGCATTTAAGGGAGTTAAGTATAACAGCCCTACCAAATGGCTGCCTTGAGTATCATAAGTAAACCTTGCTAGTTGAATCAGCCGAGCACGGCCGCCAGGTCGCAGTCCCAAATCAGCACTCGGCCCGATAATATCACAACTCCTCTTAGGCTGCAAACGCAGAGCCATCCAAATGTTCACATTTCCTCGATTATCAAGGGAGCAGAACTGAAAACTGTTGGATAAGATCGATTCTCGCATTAATGACTTCAGTGCGACGATCGGGGACGTTGGAAAGGTTCTGAAATCGGAACTTTTATCTTCCTCCGAAAAAGCAAAAGAAGCCAAGTAGTCTGGTGATTTCGCATGCTCAAAGATCTTGGGAAGGAAAGAGCCCTGCTTCGAAACATTATCGGACGGATAAAGAGGAGATATTTCGGAACCTATAGCCCAGACAACCAAAGTTCCGTCACTAAGGCCTCCCACTATCTATTTGAGTAAAGTCATGATTGGGTCTATTCAAGCTTAACCTACCATAGTAAACTCTGAGCTGGTTTCTGATAGCACAGATACTATCCCATCTCCATATCCCCAGACATCACCGATGCCACGTCCAGACATCGGCAAAAGTCCAGGACACTTCAGTGCATGCTCGAGGGTTCCTTGACCAGAATGGTCATTGACTTTCCAAACGCACGCTAAATCGCCAGGTAAAGGGCCTCGTAGATTTTCCATACTATGAGGCTGAAGTTAAATACTTATATTGAAAAGGAATGGCTAACCGACTTTAGTCGATGAAGAGTGAGGAGGTGGTGGTCCAAGAACTTGCAGTGAACGCATTCCAACTCAGCCAGTGTCTGTTGGTCTTGACTAGGAATAACTAAGTTGTGTGGTTTGTGAGCATGTTGGTTAGACGTTAAAGAATGTTCTTCACAATCCCCTTCTAGAAGCATGAGTACTGTTTTCAAGCTCGTCTTCAGTCGATTCAAAGTCGAGACGGAGAATCGTTCATTGTTTCTGGGAGAATCCGATGAATGATTACTTTGGAAGGACGAGTTCAAAGCTGTTCAGTCAAATCTCTCGTCAGTTGAAGGATCAAAACAACAAACTGCTACGCAGTTTAAAAACTAAAAACACTGCCAAAACTATTAATAGAATGAATTCGTTAAAAAAAATTTCGGCACATAGTACTACGTGAAGGTACTGCTCTTATTCTGCTAAAATGGATGACATTCTGACTTATTTGCCAAAACCTTGATGCGCCTTGACAAGTCAGGAAACCTACGGGCATAGCGGACGTGTCCCGAATGACCGCCTTCGTAGGCTGGAGGGATCTGAGTCCATGACGAGTAAGGAGCCGTTCGTGACCTCTCAGTTTGTACCTCCCTAGAGAGGCAATCATCCATTGTCTGCGACTGAGCATGGGAAAGCTCTACCTGACAAAGCCGCAGAACGTAACTAGAGTACGCATCCATTGGCTGGAGGTTGAAGATCTCTCGAAAATCACCCAAACCTAGTTCTATAATCCGAAGAAGTTCTTTCCCCCTTTCAATCTGGCGCCTGCGATTTAGCGACATAAACTCATTGCTTAGGCTTTCAGCAATGTCATTTTCTATCCTCATCTGTGTTGGTGATTTTGAGCAATTTCGTTTGGTCTGTTCTCCATTACATGCATAAACTGTAAAATACTGAAAATCAGATGGGGTCATAATCTGTTGATTTTCTAAAGTTCCGGCGTTCTGGTTTGTCGGTAATACAGCTGATCGATATTCCAGTTCACCTAATGAAGATTCAGCTGGAAAATTCACTCCTCCTTTCTGAGGTGATACAGGATCCAACAACGTAAAGTCACTTTCAAGCTTACAATCCTGAGAACAGCTTTCTTTTTTAGGGGAAGAATCAGCATTCGAGTGGTTAATACTGCTTAATGGTTCATTACCAGACATTCCTACCAATTTCATATCGTTTTGGGGGCATCATCAGAAGGTTTCTTACCTATAGGCAGTCGTGATCTCCTAATAGAACTCTTTTCTTTATATTGTTCAGTGACAGAACCAAGATTTGATACAGTTGGTAATCTACTTGTTTTTATATTGGGTATTTCGGCAGACGATCCTTTTGATGCCACTAAATTGACAGATGCTTTTGCCGATTTAGCAGGACTTTTGCTCTTTGAATTCGATTTTTTTGTGGAACAACTCCTCAGGGGGTGTCTTCGAGATTTCCTGTCTGACATGATTACACTACTAGGAATAAATTCCTAAGAAACATCAATCAGTTTGAAAAATCGCGTGTCGCTATTTCCAACCGTTGATTAATACAAACTAACACAGGACAATCAGAAAAGAAGCTTGTATTAGACAGGTAAGCATTAACCAAAATAAATTACTTCCCTAGTTTATCAAAGGATTTAGTTGATGGGAAGGAAGATTTTCTTTAAGACTCAACATCCAATATATTCTGATTGGCCAACAGTTATGTGATATAAATATCAAGTGGCTTCATTTGTAGTGTCTACAGTTGTCACACAACTGTTAGTCTGTTACGAAAATTAGCTCTCATGCAAGGACTTTTTGTGTCTTTGGTTATTGTGAACCAGATATTATGTAGTGATACGAGTCCTCCCTGAGGTCGTGAAAAGCATATTGGGATAGGCGCCTATGCACACAGCGGACAGCTATGCTGCCGAACGGAAATAGGAGCCTTAAAGATTTAAGTGCTCGTGTAGTCAAACTTACATAAAACATATGGCTAGTCATTCTTAATGCTGGATTTTCCACGCTACCCAAGTCCTTTTAAGTATTGATAATTCGTCAAATGTCTTAGCGTAGATACCATTTTCTACAAGTTAAAACCGAAATAGCGCTAAGATAGCATTGGATAGACATAACGTTTCCCGCACTCCCAAAGCCTCTCTCAAGAGCGCTTCCAATGCCGCTTGCATTTACCACCATCGACTAGTCACAAAATCCCAAACCTCCTAAGGCAAGGTTCTACACGCTGATACCGAAACCTAGTCCGTGCACAGTCGCACAGGCAGTGGGTCAAACACCGCCGGTACTACCCCACAATTGACAAGACATCAACTCAAGTATAGGCCTCTCGAGAATGGGACGATCATACCCTCCCTCCCGGAAATCATGCGCCTTAAGAACATCAAGCAGTTCTTGTGGAGAGACTGCAACAAAACAAGAGCAGTCACAAGTACTAAATACGTTGAGGTGAGAGCTATTAGCGATGGATAGAAAGTCTGGACAACGGACGCAAGTAGTTTCTCGACGTAGGAAACATGAAAGATGCGAGGTGTACAGGGAAAACAGTAGACGATAAGGGCTGACAGGGATGGGAGGGAGTGGGACAAGAAGTTATCGCAGATTCTAATTAATATGGCCCCCAGCGGCTGAGGACCTCTCGGCCAGTCTATACCAACGGCAAGCCCGCTTTGGCCCGACACTGACACACCGTGGCGCGTTGCATAAATTGATTCCGCGACTGATCCCGCACGACCTTAGGAACGAGTTACACAACAAGGGTATTTAGGGTTAAGAGCACCAGCTTATTGCTGCTTTCAGGAATCGCAAAGAGCCAACTCCATTTGTAAAGGGCAACATTCTGAACTCAGACACACCTTAAGAAAGTCCTCCAGTTCAATGGCGCCATTTTCCAGGGCCTGTGAAAGGTAGTATAGCACATCCCCAATCGCCTGTTCTTCTGCGAAGGCCTCAACTAGCCTGGGGCAAGAGACCAGAAATAAAACTATAATAAAGAAATAGATCACCACGAATTTCCAAACAGCAACAGAGGTTTACGATTTCTAGTTAAAACGGTGAGCTATGACTGTCATAGTTTGAGTACTAATATCGCCGATATCCCAGCTTCAGTGAAATTCACATTTGTATCATGGAGTTAGGATTATCCGCTTATGTCGCCACTTTCTTGACGATCATATAGTAACACGGTCTAAACGCGAGACGGCAGAATCGATACAGCCACAGAAAGTCATGATCTCTAACGAATGAAGAATTTGGCTTAGTGGTAAATTGCACCAAGCGAGCCAAAGGATTGTGGAATTTCTTTCCGACAATGTTAATCATTAAATTGAGTGACGCAGCTTAGGGTGGGTACTATGTCAACCAAAATCCTAAACCAATTGGAATAAGCAGAATAGCTGCCTGAATTTAATCACATAAATTACACGGCAATAAGATGGAGACATCTTTCGTCACAGCATTATGAAAATGATGGGGGGAAATTGGCTAAATGAAGTAGGGCAAGGCTAAAGGCTTGCCTTTGTTTTTTCTCAGTAGATGGCTGATCATAACGAGAAAACAACGGCACTGCACCACAATACGCATGTGCAAGATGCTACAGAGCCAGATTTGGAAACGCACCCACAATATTCACAAAACATCCCATCGCTGGTTAAAAAACAAGAATTAAGTCACAAATTGCAAGCCGTAAGATACATCTCAATGTCAAAAGTAAGGGAAACGAGTTTCGCCACGTTGCCTCGCTTTTTTATCAGTCCGAAAAAGCTACTGACGGTGGCCGAATCGCAAACTTGGATTAATTGCACCACTTCTTGAGACACTATATCAAAACAGGACCCAGCAAAAAAAACTTTAAAGGAGCGAAACCTTACTGCCGATAGACAGGCCTCGTGGTATCAACAACCGAGTCGTAGTCCACTTTGACATTCGCCTCCTGTTTCAGCTTTCGATAGGCCTCCTTGTACTCCCTTGTCTTATCCTCCAACTCAAGCGTCAGAGATTGTATCTGCTCCTGTAGAAAAGAATGGAGAAGGGAGAGTGATAATATAACTTATTTAGAAAGGAAAAAAATAAACAGTTGTGGACAGGAAGAGATATGGGTATATAGACGTTTACCAGCTCGGAGAGCATCTGCGCTTGGATAGTGACGAGGTTGTCAGCGTGCGAGATAAGGTCCTTTTGCGTCGATTCGAGCGACTGGATCTCGCAGCTCAGATCGTCCACCACCTCGCGTTGCACATTGTTCAACTTATCCATGACAGCGGATCGAAGCGACAACAACAGCTGTTCCTCCTCCGACACTACACCTGAAGTGGAAGTGCTTGCGAGGTAAGTACTTCATTGCTACCAACGCACAGTTGATTGCGACTATAGACAGTACTTTTCGCCAATATTTCCCAAAAATTTCGAAAGTAGCTTATATGCTGACGTCAATAGTGGACGTTGTCAACCAAGGAATTTCGTGAGGGAGTAATTTTTGACAAATGAAGTTTTGTCTCCTTTAAGTAATAGGTAGCAGAATAAACCGCTCCGGTTGGCTTAAAGAGCGGATGGCAAAACACTACCTCCAGTCTGAGACCTTAAAAGATCAACTGAAGAAACCGGTATAAGAGCACTATAAGTACACAATTCACTTTGTTAAACACAAAAATGTCAGTTCCCAAACTATTTAAATGGTATACGACGTGAATAGGCCTTGCACAATTTTACTAACACGTATTAGCGGGGCTGAGGTGAAAGGCATAAAAGACCTAAGTAAAACATAAATCAGGCAGATTAATCAGATACATGATGAACTCAAAGTGCTACCAATCCCCATACATATTATGCTACCACTTACGGTTAAACGGAATTTAAGAATCCGCAATAAAAATATTTTATAAAAGAAAAAAAGCGAAAAACTAAACAAGGCCACACTCATATCAGGTGTGAACACTGAGGTTTGATAACAATATGAGAGGGATAAATAACAGTCCTCACAGGATGCAAGACATTTGTGTTTAATCAGTGTCAGGATGGACGGTAAATCCGAAATTCAACTATATAAAGCTGGTAGATTCATAAAGAGCGAATCCAGTCAGGCTAAAAGCTACCAATCTAATCGAGCAGTAACAGTGTGTTCTTAGCCCTCGCATAGAGGGTCTAGAAAAAACCTCGAGTTAATTGATTTCAGCCCACTTCTTAGAGTAGCATTTGAAACCACACAAAATGGTGTGGGCCTCTTCGGTGCTACCTACCGGTTAACTCAACAACTTTTCAAGCCACCACGGCTACATAATTAACCAATAAAACGTTAAATTTTGAAAAACTTATTAAGCAAATAAAGGCTAGCGAAAATGATAGGCATGGTATAATGGTGGTTTTTACTCTAACATCCACTGAACATTCGAACATCCACTCAAGCCTTTGTTGTGAAGATAGATTTATTGGATAATCAGTTAAAATAAACATCGGTAGTGAGAAATGTGTACCCCTTTTTGGAAGCAGAAAACCCACACAAAATTGTGTACAAAATCGCTCATACGTAGAGATTAATCATAAGACCACTACCAGTCATCAAACAGTTAACGCGTCGTACTTGCAGGAAAGCTGGTGGCGCTGCCCATGAAGGTTGACGCAGTGGAGACAGTGGGCATGGAAGGCATGACCCCACCAAAAAGGGAGGACTGTGGCGTAGCGCTGCCACTCAGAGCGGGATTAGTGGACCCTGGCAGGCCTGGCATTCCTCCCCATCCCACCCCAGGCATCCCATATGCGTAACCGTTCGAGGCTTTCATAACAAAAAAGGAGAACAAATTACCCACGGATCAAGTGTGGTCATCACTATATGATGAAATTGTGACATTCCGCATTCATGCTCGGAAAACCAAACAAGAAAGCCTTACTGCGCATCTAAATGTAGAGGTGAACGAAGGGTTTACGCGCGGCAGACGCCAATAGGGTGATTGAAGTGTGGGTGTAACGTTATATTTCAAAGGAACCATTCCCACAGCCTAGATTGGGTGGATATCCCACAGCTAAAGCATATTTAAAGTGGTTTGTTATTCTCGACGAAAGGGAAACGAAAATGCAAAAAATTTCTTAGGCCCAAAGGTAACAGTGAGTTGACAAATGGTTTGACACCTGACGCTTAGCATTGGATAGGCACTGAAACGCAAAAATAAAGGTACCCAATTACAAAAGACACTGTATACCAGTGGATGCAACGGGTGTTGTCGTTATAACTTGGCATGGTAATTGGTCTATCATAACGTTGCGTAATTTGATCCAGACCAATTGAATCACACCATTTCAAAGGCAATAACACACACTTCTTATACGCCGAAATAAAGTATGGGCAACTGACGCTGTTTTATAATGAAGTTTGATAGTGTCGAATAATTTACAACAGAAAATAAATAATAGCGTTCACAATCCCTAAAAAGGTAAGGATTCACCAATTAAATACATTTCTGTACAGCCCTCGTAAAAACGGTGAGGTTTCAACCCTCACAACTCATTTAGCACATAAAACATGGACACTAGACTTTTGATTTATGCAACATTGCCAGAGGTTAAGAGAAAACATGGCTTCCGGGAGATTATGACTTCCGATAGCTAAAAAATGAGGAAACATACACGTAATGTTGGCGTTAAATCCAACAGAGCCGGTTGTGGGCTTGGAAAAGACTGGTGTTCGCTGACCAAAGACATTCTGAAGAATCTCTAAAAGGCCTTGTGTTGATGAATCCGGCTGCGAAAGAACAATGTTCCAACGATGAAAATGTAGCGTGGCATATGTAGTCGAGGTAGGTCATCAATACACTTACAAAGTTCCACTCTGATAGATAAGGAAGGAAGATCTTTCCATTTGTGTCAACGTTTGGGCCAGCTTTAATCTGCATGCTCGAGGTTGGACGGACATAAGCGATGGGAGGATGATAAGGGTGTTGACGGACAAAATAAACAGCTAATGGGATGTTGTACACGTTTCCCATGTATTTGACGGGTATAGTCCCTTCCATACAAAGAAGCTTGCTAGTTTGCCCATTTTCAAAAGCTGAAAAAATAGCTGCAAATGAAAGCCACTCTTACTGAAATCTTGCAGCTTTACTTGAAGACTATGATAAGCCTGAGATGCCTTTTCAATATCAATTCTTGCCGCTTCACGATATTTGTACTAAAAATCAAAATGGATGACATTGACACATTCCAAGTGGACCAAAGAACACCTGTGAGTGACTAGATTTAGGAACCATATTCGATATATAATCAAAACCTCGTCTCTGCTATTAATAAGTAACAACAAAACCTGCTGCTTTCGGACTGCACGACTAAGATGCGGAAATCCAGCGACAAAATAGGGACTACATTAAAAGCTGGCAAAACCACGCCTCTATTGACAGAAGAGAATTTATAGCTTAACCGAGGACAATGTCTTGTAGCCGATAAAGGAAAAAAGCATTTTCACTTAGGCAGAAATAGAGTGAGCACTCAAAATTCTAGCGATTAATATTAATTCACACGCGCATAAATATGTGGCAAGCATGCGAATTTAGAGTCCAGGTATAAATTCGGACTTTAAAAACAACTGCCGCGGGAAATAATACCCAATCAACTGTGCGAGACACTTACATTCACCAGACCATGAACAAGAGAAGCAGACTGACTCGACATTATCAGAGAAACTGAAATTAGATCGCGCGCACTGGCCGAACTACAAAACAAAACAAGAATGGTAGTATTTAGACTTGTCAAGTTGACATTTCAAAGACACTTAAACAATTAGAATTGCATATGGCTTGACATTTTTTTTTTAAAAGTCAGTCAACACCTGGAGTGTAACTGGGCCAAATACATGACATTTTACAAATGTTTACGAAAAGTTCTGTCTTCAAAGGACATATTTCCATCTAAAAACTTTAGCCTATTTATAAGAGTTTAGGTGTTTTAAAACTATACAATAATGTAGATTTGTAGCAAACTGTCGATTTGTTCAGTTACCGCCTCTAGAATCGCCAGACCTTACTCAATATTTCATGAATGAAAAATGGAGCTGAATATTCTCTTTAGCAAATTTTATCAGTATTTTTAGTAGCATCCTGTAAATACGATAGTGGTTTACCCCTTGGCACTGATGAGGCGCCACTTTTGTACTTCGAATAAGCCCCTTTTACCTCACCGGGTGGGCCCGCCTTTTGGGCCATGCCAATAGCTTAGACACCTTCCCTGCGCTGAATATATATTCTGCCCGAGTATTGTGTCTTCTTTTATCTTCAGGGAGTCCTGAGACGCTACAATCCATTTCTTCGTATTTCTTATGAGTGCAAAAAAAGTGCTAAATACAAATAAAAGGCCGATCAAATTGCATAGAGACAGTTTGGGCAAGTTCACTGGCATTATAGTGCATTATTCTACTCTTATTGATGAAAATGGAAGTCGCCAAGGTAGTTTTAGCCCTTTGTTTGGTCAAAGCGCCTAAGTCTTGACTTTTTAAGCAATGCCTGGCCAAAAGTTCGCCCAAATTCAAATGAATTTATTATTTCTGAATATTTTTCTGAGTCGCTATCACGGATATTTGATTTGAACATACGTTTGGGATTCAAATATGGGTCTAATGCATGAATTAATGACCAGATATAAGGTCTTTGTAAAGTGAGAGTTATATGTTAAATCCTGTCGCCGAATGCCCTTATGCTTCAGGAGATCGCGCGCATGTGGACTTTAGTCGTTGCTTATGCCTGCCTTTTGTTTCAGATCCTTTGACTTAATCAGGAGATAATGCATTCGTAAAAAAGGGGATGTCGTAGAGGTATTAAAGTCCTGTGAGATCTGATCATTTGAATCCTTGCTGTAGGCCGACGGTATTTCCTCAGGCAGTAAGTTTTCCATCACTTTCGCTTGTTATCTGAGAAGCGTATCCTAGTAACCGTAGGTTAAAGAGCTTCCTTATTATTTTCAGTATCTGCTCTGATGCTCCTCTTGGGTGGTGTCCTCTTGCAACATAGATTTGGTGGACTCCTTTCTTTCGTTAGTATTTAGCCCTCTTCCTCCATATCCGAAGGGTAAGGTTTCCTTACAGTGACGCATTTTATCATGGCGAAAAGGGTGCCACAAGAGTAATGATTTCGACATAGAGAATGATTTGTTGGAAAAAATGGGATTTCCAATGTACTTTGGAAGATAACACAAATTTATACAGCTGTATTAGGTTTCCTTCTTGGTAGGTTAACGGATGATTGTGCCTATCTTAATACTGCAGGTCAATCTAGAATAAGATTGGCCTGCGTATGTACGCATAAATGAAAATCTTTTTCGTCGCTTCCAGCAATCGGGGTGTGTATTTTGGTGCATTGTGCTTCGATACTTCAGTATTTGAGTAATATGCAATGGTACTCACATTTTTAGGATCAGTGACCATTTCTTAAGAGTGCAGCATCAGTGAATGCATGCACAGATT